ACCAAGGATACTTTCGGCCCTCTAAAGGAAGAAAACAACGTGGCCTCGGAGGATGACAGACAAACAGCTGATACCTTAAATGTATACTTTGCATCAGTATTCACACAAGAGATGATGGATAACATCCCAGTACCTAAGAGAATCTATACCTCAGGGGAGGAAAATTAATTAAGAGAGATAGCAATTACAGAAGATATCATCAAAAGGAAAGTAGTCAGCTTGAAAAAATTCAAAGCCACTGGAGTGGACAGACCACAGACCAAGGTGATAGAGGAGGTGGTAAACAAGATTTGCACTCCACTAAGATACTTATTCAGGAAATCCTTGGATCAAGGTAAAGTGTCTAGGGACTGGGAATCTGCCAACGTCACCCAATTATACAAGAAGGGTAGAAAAAGTGCAGCAGAAAATTATAGGTCGACCAACTTAACATCAGATATGCAAGCCGCTTGAGAAAATTCTGAGGGATGCCATCATCCAACACCTGACCAAGCACAGTCTAATCAGTGTCTCACAACATGGTTTCATGGGGAGGAAATACTCCTGACAAAAATACTCAAGTTCCTTGAAATGGTAAAAGACTACATAGGGCAAGGATAACCAGTGAATATGTTGTATTGTACATGGATTTCCCTCATGCACAGCTAGCCTCTAAGTTCCAGGTACATGGCATCACAAGCAAGATTTTGAAATGGATTAACAAAAGGCTCAAAGACAGACAACAAAGAGTGGTAATAAATGGAGTACAGTTGAACCACGATTTACGCCGTTCTCGTTTACGCGTTTGGTCATTTACGCGGTACCTTGCCAGAACCAGGATGCCCGATTTATGCGATGAATTTACTCATTTACGCGGGTGAAGTATAATTTGTTTATTTACTGAAGATATTTGTTTTAGCTCATAAAATTCATACAAATTACGCGGCCAGAATATAATTTGCATTGCTGGAATTCTTATAAGAATGTGATTATTTTAAACATAAACATCATGGAATTTGCATTAGACATACAAATTTTAGATCTAATGTAAGAATTTTGATTACAAAGAGCCAAAATTTTATCTTTTGTGCAAAATGTATGACGTTTATATTCAAAGTATTCCTGGTCTTGCGGGGAATCCAGCAATGTCAATTATATTATCCTAACTTTAGTCTGAGGTATTATTTATTACTATACCTTAAAATCTAGTGTTTTCACCCTAACATTTCTCAGAGAGGGAGGAGCCAGCGAGCGTGGGAAGAGAGGGGGGGAAGTCGAGTCCATTATTTGAATGGACATTAACCTGGCGACTGTATTTCTCTTAAATATTAATTGTGTGTGCATACCATCATAAAATTAAGATGTTATTTTTTCTACAACGTAGGTATTGTGTTGGAAAAAGTGGAGTTTGGGAGTCGGCCCAGTCTCTATTTCAATTAATCCAATATGTTCTGTTATTCCATTTACCCGTTTCTCGTTTTACGCGCTACTCCGCAGGTTCAATTGACAGCGTAAATCGGGGACCACTGTACATCCCGAATGGAAAATGGTTCTCAGTGGAGTACCACAAGGCTCTATCCTTGTACCCAACCTGTTTGTGATCTACATTAATGACAAATGAAAAAATATCGAGCTACATTGCCAAGTTTACGGACGACATGAGTATATTTGGGAAGGTAGCAAGTGAGGATGATGTTGCAACAATGCAGGAAGACCTGAATGAGCTGTTCAAATGGTCCCTAAACTGACAATGCAACAACCCCAAAATACTATTATATTAATAACACTTCTCTAGATACTGTCGAAATGGAGAAAACAAACCAAGATAGGAAAATGCTCCTTCAACTTTACAAATCTGACATAAGTCCCAGTCTGGATTACTGTATACAGTAAAGGCATAGAAACCCTACCTCTAGAAAGGCCTAACATCCCATAAAAAAGTGCAACACAGAACGACTAAAATGATTCCAGAACTATGTCATCTCGATTACTCAAGTAGGACTAATAACCGTTTAGATGAGGCACAACAGGGCAGATCTCATTGAAACAATGAAAATCCTGAAAGTGCTGGAAAACATGAACCCAGGCCATTTCTTTGTGATGTCACGCACCACCAACATAAGGGGACATAACTACAAGCTCACCAAGTTATCATGCAGTACAAATACAAGGAAATACTTTTTCACATAGAGGGCATTAGACCTACGGAACGTTCGACCAGCCCAAGCTATGGAATCACGAACAGTACAGTACTGGGCTTCGAGTTGCCCCTGACAAAATTATCAAAAACAGTGGAGGGATCAAAAACAGGTCATTAGCCTAGATCCCTCAGCATGGCCACCTCTACTGGGCTGCCATTAGATAAATAGGGTAAAAATATATAATTTTACCCATAAATGGTTCTTCCACATGACAACACTACATTAGCATCCGATTCCTCTTCCAAGCAAATTCCTCTAATGAAATAGGAAATATCCTTGAAATTCATAATTCTACACTTTGTCCACAACAAAAAAATAAATTCCTACTTCAACAGATATTAACCCCCCACCCCAAAACATTTATTATGTCCCCACAAATGTATTTTTATTCAATCTCATCCTTACTACTCATTGAGCCATACTCTATGTGTCCCTTCAGTGAAGTACAATACAGTTAACCCTCACTTTACGCGGTTAATGTAACCCGGAGGGTCCCGCGTAAAGTGAGAAACGCGTAAAGCAAATAACATAACATATGGGATTAATTGAAATGGAGTCCGGGCCGATCCCCAAACTCCACTTTTTGACGACACACAACTATGTTGTAGTAAAAATATTATCTTAACTTTATGATGGTATGCACACACAATTAATAATTAAGAGAAATATCAATAATATTAGGTTTTTAACACTTACATTAGTAGAAAAAATGGCTGGGCACACGGGGATGGGCGGTTGGTTCCGAGGCAGAGGGCAGATTATTGGCCCTCACCTGTGTCACTTGTATCAATTGTATCACTATCCACCACAGAGGCTTGCAGGGCCTCTTTGTCAAACTCCCCAAAGTCCATATAAGTCCATATCCTCACCATAATTATCACTATCACTGACTTGGGCCGGCTGTGGTGGGTGGCGGGTGAAGAACTGGTAATGTTTTGATGACTGGGCGACCTTGTGCGCACCATGTTCGCGCAGCTTACACAACATGGCGGATGGCAGGAGGTTTGGATCCAAAAATGGCGCGGCTCGCCAGCCGCTCTCCGAGTAAAGGGGTACACGCACCGCGGAATGTGAGCATCCTGGGTTCCGGCAGGGCACCGCGTAAACGTGGAAAGTGGGACCGCGTAAAGTGAGGGTTAACTGTATATGAAATAAAATTCTACCATTGTATTGTTGCTCTATATGAGAAAATGGAGGGAATACAAATAGCCCATAGTTTTCTGATGATCTAGAAAAGAATCCTCGTATTTCTAAATCCCTCTTATACCTTTCAAAAGTCTGACTTATTCTTCCTACACCTTTCTTTAACATTTAAAAATAACTGAAGTAATTAGGAGTCAAGATGTGAACTATTAGTTTTCAGCACCTCTATTATATCAATTCAATATTCCTCCTACTCTCTAACCACACACCTGACTGTAAAAGGTGGATGATGCCAGAGTATCATCATCAGCTGTGGGTGCTGGGTTGAGAGATACTGTCCCATCATCTAGTTCTACCCAGTGACGGAAGCACATGGCACTAGACATGGAGAGAATACAATTAGTAAGTTAGACATTAATTACCAACAGACAGATACACGTCGCTACCTGGCATTTAATTGCAATTCTCAAAACCCCCTCCCGCACCCTTCATCACACGCATTGCTGCCGTCATCTCTTGCCCTAGAGCGAGCAGTAAACAAATGTCAACTCTCGAAGGGTGGAGATGGGTGGAATGTCAACGTCGCATTCTGGACTATATCACAAAAAGGGGTTTTAGGAGAGAAAAAAAAAAAAAAATGGCCTTGATTACCCGAGCATGAGGTGGAGAGGGAGGTGATATTGCATATAAGGCTCTGCTAGCTAGGTACAGATTATAATTATAAACTTTTTGGATTATTTTTCAATACTGTAAGTATTACGAACATTTACCAGAAAGTAAAATGTTAATTTACATATCCAAATTAGGATAATGTACTCACTTTACTCTGATGAGGGAGAAGAAGGTCCTGGTTGTGGAAATTGACTAGGTGGGGGAGGGGACCCCAGCACTACCACATGTGAAGCATCTTTCAGAGATAGATGAAGATAGCTGTTTTAAAAGATTTTTGAAGATCTCCAAAAGCCCACTTGTTTGATCTGACTGAGGCTCATATGCCACAGAAAGGCCACAGACCCTGCATATTTCCTGGTGTCATGTGCCCAAAATTTCTTGCCATGGTCTGATTTACTCACTAACTGAGATACGGTACCCGGTAAATATTTTGTCATTTGACTAGAAGACAATTTCTTACCATCCAGTGATGAGAATACATAGGGGTCTCGATTAGGGAACCTGGTTAACCATTCTTGAAGATTCCTAACCAGGCAAAATATATGAGGAACCCTGGTCTCATCCATCAACCATTTTATCCTGATAGGTTGAGCTCGAAAATCCTCCCTTTCATTTTTCTAAGGATCTCCGTAAGAAAACGGGTGACATCTTCCTCAGAAAATATCAATAGTGATGGATTATTGGAAATTGAAATCAGCTCACTGATTCTCATACCTGTTGCTATTGCTGAAAGGAAGGCTGCCTTCTGGAGCAATCTGTCCCGGTTCAGATTTATATTGTAATTAGGTCTCATAAGAAATTTAGTAACTTTATCTAGAGACCAAGGTGAGATTCTCTTAGGCCGAGGGGGTCCCTGAATGAAAAAGGATGATCTGAGCATTGGATAAATTCTTGGGTTCAAAGTAATAGTAAAACCCCATGCCAAAAGGTCAACCAATGCCAATTTATGAGATGCAATTGTTGATTCTTGAAGGCCTTTAACTCTGAACAGAAAATCTAAAAATTCTAACACCACTGTTTCCGACAATGTGATTGGTGTCGTTAACCTGATAAATTGTTGAAAAAGTTTCCAAGTTTTCTCATATTGCATAGAAGTTCGGGGTCTGTGACCTGCTATCACTTGGTTAACTAGTGTATATTGGAATTACCCAACAATCTATTTAAACATCTTTCGAGAAACTGCAAGCACGAAATGCCAAGGCTATCTCGAACTAAGGGTGCTGTACCTGTTCTAGACATCCCTGTTGCAATTGTAGTGGATGCGAGCACCAGTCCAACAGATCCAGACACCACAGTTGTAGGATCCAAAATGGTGGAATTAAGAGGACCTTCCCTTGGAAGGATCTGAGTTTGTGAACCACTTTGGGCAACATTTTCACAGGTGGGAACAGATAGATTGAATTCCAATGGTTCCAATCTATGAGTAGAGCATTTCCAAAAAAAATTGATCGTTCTAGAGATGCATAAGTTGGCATCTTGTGATTGTTTTGTGAGGCAACGAGTTCTATTTGTGGAGCAACAAACTTCCTCACTAGACTTTTGAACTTCGAAATCTTTAGGGACCATTTTGTTTCCATCGATACTGGCCTGAGATGGGACAACGCATTTGCCCAATTGCTTTGTACTCCCGGTATGTGAGTTGCTTTGAGGTAAAGTGTTTGTGTTACACAAACTTTGAAAAAATTATCTGACAATTTTAGGAGGGGCCAAGATCTGGTTGAGCCTTGATGATTGAGACAAAACACTGCCACTCTGTTGTCCATGGCAAACATCATTGTCATGTTTTTAAATTTGGGTTTGTCAACAAAAAGAATAGGACTACTGCTAATTCTTTTACGTTTATGTGTTTGTCCCAAGGGGAGTCGCTCCACTTCCCTTGACGGAACTCTCCTTTTGAGAATGGTATCCCCATCCTATTTCGGACGCGTCCATACAAACGCCCAAGTCTGTTTGAGGGGGAACCCAGGGAGATGACCCAATTAGATTGTCCAAATTTTTCCACCATGACAGATGATTCTTAATCTGAATAGGGAGAGAAGAAGCAATATTTCTCTGTCTGTTAAGCAAATTCGACCCCAGATGAGTTAGTTGCTTCTTCCTTAACGTGCCCAAAGGAACTACTATGGTGGCAAAAATTCAACAGACCCCGTAATTTTTCCCAATCGTGCCGAGAAACCTCTTGCTTTACACAAAAGGCTCCTTCTTGGTTTATCACATGTTACCTTTGCTTCTGGTAGACTGACTGACTGCTGATTGGTGTCCCAATGAAGACCAAAGCAATCCAATTTCTAACATGGTATAAGATTTTATTTGACCTGGTTTATCTTTAATCCTATGTTTTGAAATAGTACTAGTGTACATTGGATCGCCCTTTGACAATCTTCGAAAGAGTTTCCTACTATCAGCCAATCGTCTAGATAAGCAAAAGATCATATGCCCTCCTCCACAACGATCTCTCTGGGGATGTTTGCCAGTTTTGTAAACACTTTTGGCACAATTGTCAGGCCGAATGGCATCACTGTGAATTGATAACTTACATACCCCACTGTGAACACTAGAAACTTTCTGTACATGTAAGCATTAGGCACGTGATAATAGGCGTCTTCGAGATCCAAGCATTGGGCGGAAGTAGATGCCCCAATGTTCGTAAGTGAGCATCTTGAAACTTGTTTTGGTAATGAACTTGTTCAGGACGGAAAGATCTAAAATCCACTTCAATTTGTTGCTGCCTTTCTTGGGGACTGGGAATAAGCGAGACATGAAACATTTCTCTGACTGCAACAGTTCTATCACACCTCTGTTTAACAATTGAATTACAAATTCTGTGAGTAAGGGGGTTGGTTTTTTACCACTTTTTGGTAACACTGGGGGAGCACGCCTCAACCATGTTCATGTGAGGCCCCCTTTCATTGCCTTGTAAGCCCATATGGAAGAAGTCCACCTGTTTTCCCAACCACCTTGACGGCCCAGCTATCTGGCTTCATTGGGAGGTTGATAACTGAACCTACCAGCTGGTCCTGTTCCCCTGTTAGCTTGAGCAATAATGCTTGAGTGAGCATGAAGCCAGAGTTAAGTTTTTCTCTTCATAGCTCTATTTTAGTCATGTCCTCAGTAGCGGGTTCAGCCTTTCAAAGCAAACTTTAGCGAGGCTGCTAGTCTCAGTGATCCTTCCGGACGCTGACCTTCCAGTCTTACTAGCAATCTTGAGTTATGTTGGGATGAACCTTGTATCCTCAGTATGAGTTAAATGAGAACCATTCAGGGTGGAATTTTCAGCCCAATACATTTTGCTATAGTAATAGTGAACAATGTTAGCCAATGGAGGACTATGGTAGCAGCTCAGCACTGTCAACCCTTCCAGGTGACTTGATGCTCACTCAGGCATCATTGCTCAAACATGATTAGTTGAAGCGGTGATGTCTGTGCACCCTGATTGGCAACAAATAGAGAACTTGCTGATCTCTCAAAATATAAGTGCTCTAAAATGAAGTTAGCTTGATTAAGTAACAAAGTTCACTAAGTTCACTGAGCTGAGGGATAATTGAGATAAGAGAAGGGAGAGGTGTATGATATAGTGAGTTACTTGTTTATGATTGTCACACTGGTGACAAGAGATATTAAATCAAATACCTTACTAAAATATCACAGTTAGGAGTCATACTGATTATGTTTGGGAGAAAGTTTTATTATCTCCCTTGTATTATTATGATGATACAATGTGACTAATAGTGTTCCTCCTAGTTTAGATGAGTGATGTGCAACTGGAGGAAGAAGGACAGTTGTCTGGACAGCTGGATGAAGGAGGAGACCATGGAACTGTCCCTGGGGAACTAGTGTTGAGTGACGAGCTACAAGGACTAGAAAGTTCAGCTCATACAGTACATACAAGGAATTGTCCGTCAGTAGAGGATGTGAATTCAGTAGTAGTAGCTTCACCCAGAACCCAAGGGGACTGTACTACATGTAATTATCAAGGATGTAGAGTCACTTGGATTATCAAGTTAGATCCTCATTTGACTCGCATAAATCATAGCAGCTGTGTCTCAGACAACCTGTTTTCACCATTGGATTGTGCAGTTTGTTATGATCAAATAGTTTAAATGAATCAAACTGCATGAAATAAGAAGGAATTATCAAAGATGCAAATAAAAAATACATGAAATAAAGCCTTAAAGAGTAAAATTCTAAATGTAAAACACTGGAAAGATCCCAAGTTAGCAGAAAGTTTAGAATTAAGGGTGATAGGTAAGAGACTTAATCCCCAGTTAGACCAACCTGCTTCTGCTAAGAAAAGTAGGTTATTGGATATTTAAGACAAGAATCTCAACCTAGTCAGCCCGATTTTAGTGGATTCCAGAATCAGGATGAGAAAGATTGCACTAATAGTCTTCAGTCACTAGAGCAGGGAGAACCTGTTGAGACTTACTGCAGTCGACTGCCACGCAGCTGATGGAGAACATTGAGTGTAAGGATGATCCAAACAGGCCTTGGGTAACATTGGTAAGACCTAAGTTTTCTTTGTTTTAAACAACATCAGGATCTGTGGATTCCTTATTCAAGATATTTTATGAAAATGTTTCTAAACTTCCTGATCTCTCAGCACTTGAAAAGAGACAGGAAGGCCAAGCAGGCAACTGTGGGTCATCATTCATTGTTTTTAGAAGGTGATACTACAATTTCTTGGCCTGTTATTTCCCCCAAAATGATCTCTGAAATAGATGAAGTCTGGGCTAACATAATGAAAGACTTAATTCATTCCCTCAGATTGGAATGATCACAAGTTTAGTTTTTTGAAGTTCCAATGCAATGAAAAAAAAAATTCCTTTTATGAACTTTCCCAGTATTTATCGGCTCCAAAATATGCTGACATAAGCTATGAAATAAATTTGAAACCAGTTGCTTTTGCACTGTTGCAGGAAGAGTTCAAATTCACGAAGTTGGCAGTGGATATTTGGTCTGCAATCATGATGTGTCAGTTATTGACTAATTTGGTACTGAAATATGAGGACAGTTCAGAAGTAGACATGTTTTACTGCTTCTATACAAGGGATCCCATATTCCCTGTAAATGTTGTTGAAAGCCCTAAAACTAAAAGCCTACTTAAGGAAGCAAGCCACTAATAATGCTTAAGCGGTTAGTGCTTATTTATTGCTACGTTCTTCCCCTCTTTCTCCTGCTTTGTTTGAGGAATAAGCAAGCTATTCATATTACTGTTCCCAGGAGTCCTAAGACCTTTTGGAAATTTAAAAGTGGAAGGTCTAACAGGGGTACAGGGCCAGCTGCTAGGTTCAGTTATCAACCTAGAGGAAACTTTAGAGGAAGAAACAATTCAAAATGGAGTAGGGGTGGCCGTTTGTTCAGAAGTGGAAGGAGACCTTATTCCACCACAACAGTGGTCATTCCCTCCCAATGAAGCCAGACAGCTGGGTCATCTACGGGGATGGGAAAATAGGTGGATTTTAGATCTTTCCATCCTGAACAAGCTCATTATATATATATATATATATATATATATATATATATATATATATATATATATATATATATATATATATATATATATATATATATATATATATATATATATATATATATATATATATATATATATATATATATATATATATATATATATATATATATATGCTTCAGATCATCTGAAGCATCTTGCCCAATGCTTGGATCTCAAGGAGGATCTCGAAGATGCCTTTTATCACGTTCCTGTTGCTCCCAGGTACAGAAAGTTTCTTGTGTTCGCAGTGGGGGATGTAAGTTATCAATTAACAGTGATGCCATTTGGCCTAATAATTGTGCCAAAAGTGTTTACAAAACTGCGAACATCCCCAGGAAGATCCTTGCGAAGGAGGGCATAAGAACTTTTGCTTATCTAGACGATTTGCTGATAGTAGAAAACTCTTTCGAAGACTGTCAAAGGGCGACCCAACATACTCTAGTACTAATTGAAAACCTAGGATTACAGATAAACCAGGTCAAATCAAATCTCCTACCCTGTCAGAAATTGGATTGGTTAGGTCTCCATTGGGACACCAATAAGCAGCCAGTCAGTTTACCAAAAGCAAAAGTAACAGATGTGATAAACCAAGAAGAAGCCTTTTGTGTAAAGCAAGAGGTTTCTTGGCACGATTGGGAAAAACTACGGGGTCTGTTGAATTTTGCCACCAAAGTAGTTCCTTTGGGAACGTAAGGAAGAAGCAACTAAGTCATCTGGGGTCAAAGTTGCTTCACAGAAAAAAAATATTGCTTCTTCTCTCCCTATTCAAATAAATATTCATTTGTCATGGTGGACAAATTTGGGCAATCTAATCGGTTCATCTCCCTGGGTTCCCCCCTCAAACAGACTTGGTCGTTTGTCCAGACACGTTCGAGATAGGATGAGGATACCATTCCTCAAAAGGAGAGTTCCGTCAAGGGAAGTGGAGCAACTCCCTTTGAGACAAACACATAAACATAAGTGAATTAGCAGTAGTTCTATTCCTTTTGTTGGCAAACCCAAATTTCAAAAACATATCATTTCTGTTTGCCATGGACAATATTGCAGCAGTGTTTTGTCTCAATCATCAAGGCTCAACCAGATCTTGGCCCCTTCTCACACTGTAAAAAATAAATAAAATAAAATTAAAAAATTCAAAGTTTGTGTAACACAAACACTTTACCTCAAAGCAACTCACATACCGGAAGTACAAAACAATTGGGCAGATGCGTTGTCCTGTCTCAGGCCAGTATCGATGGAAACAGAATCGTCGCTAAAGATATCGAAGTTCAAGAGTCTAGTGAGGAGGTTTGGGACTCTACAAATAGATCTCTTTGCCTCACAAAACAATCACAAGATGCCAACTTATGCATCTCTGGAACGATCGAATCTTTTAGGAAATGCTCTTCTCATAGATTTGAAAGTTGGAATTCATTCTATCTGCTTCCACCTGTGAAAATGGTGCCCAAAGTGGTTAAAGAACTCAGATCCTTCTAGGAAAAGGTCCTCTTAATTGCGCCATAGTGGATCCAACATCCGTGGTGTCTGGATCTGTTAGAATGGTGCTCGCATCCACTACAATTGCAACAAGGATGTCTAGACCAGGTACTTCACCCTCATTTCGAGATATCCTTGGCACTTCACGCTTGCAGTTTCTCAAAATATGTTTAAATAGATTGTTGGGTAATTCAAATATAGTTAACCAAGTGATAGCAAGTCAAAGACCCAAAACTTCTATGCAATATGAGAAAGCTTGGAAACTTTTTCAATAATTTATCAGGTTAATGACTCCAATCACATTGTCAGAAAAAGTGGTGTTAGAATTTTTAGATTTTCTGTTCAGAGTTAAAGGCCTTCAAGGATCTACAATTGTATCTTATAAATCAGCATTGGTTGACCCTCTGGTGTGGGGTTTTAATATTACTTTGAACCCAAGAATTTATCAAATGCTCAGACCATCCTTTTTCATTCACGGACCCCCTCGGCCTAAGAGAATCCCACCTTGGTCTCTAGATAAAAGTACTAAATTTCTTATGGGGCCTAATTACAATATAAATCTGAACCGGGACAGATTGCTCCAGAAGGCAGCCTTCCTTCTAGCAATAGCAACAGGTATGAAAATCAGTGAACTGATTTCAATTTCCATTAATCCATCATTATTGGTATTATCTGAGGAAAATGACACCCTTTTTCCTACGGAGATTCTAAGAAAAAAATGAAAGGGAGGATTTTCAAGCTCAACCTATCAGGATAAAACTGCTAATGGATGAGACAAGGGTTCCTCATATACTGTGCCCAGTTAAGATTCTTCAAGAATGGTTAACCAGATTTCCTAATCGAGGCCCCTATGTATTCTCATCGCAGGATGGTAAGAAATTGTCTCCTTGTCAAATGACAAAATATTTATCTCAGTTAGTGAGTCAAGTAGACCCTGGCAAAAAATTTTTGGAACATGACACCAGGAAATATGCAGGGTCTGTGGTCTTTCTGCAGCATATGAGCCTCAGTCAAATCAAACAAGTGGGCTTTTGGAAATCTTCAAAAAACCTTTCAAAACAGCTATATTCACCTATCTCTGAAAGATGCTTCACATGTGGTGGTACTGAGTTCCCCTCCCCCACCTAGTTAATCTCCACAACCAGAACCTTCTTCTTCCTCATCAGAATAAAGTGAGTATCTTAATTGGGATATGTAAATTAAAATTTTTACCTTCCGGGAAATGTTCCTAATATTGGAAAATATTCCAAAAGTTTATAATTATAATGTGGACCTAAGCTAGCGGAGCCTTCTAAGCAATGTCACCTCCCTCTCCACCTCCTGCTCGGGTAATCAAACTAGACGTCGCATTCTGGATCGAACAAAAATAATTTTTTTCTAAAAAAAAAGGTTTTGTGATAGAGTCCAGAATGCAACTTCGACATCCCACCCATCTCCACTCCTCGAGAGTTGACATTTGTTTACTGCTCGCTCTAGGGCAAAAGATGACGGTAGCAATGCGTGTGATGGAGGGTGCGGGATGGGGTTTTGAGAATTGCAATTTTATTACAGGTAGCAACGTGTCCTCCTAATATATTACGCATTTAAGTAATTATTGGATGTTTTAATTGCCTCACATTTACCGGTACTGTATATATTATTTTAAGAAAACTATAGCTACTGCAGGAAAATATAGTACTGTACATACAAAAGTTTTTTTTCTAAATACTCCCTGCTGAAATGTGTGGTGCATTTTATATTGCAATGAGTTTCAAATGCTATAAAATACAGGTATCTCCCCCCAGCCATACGTTCCTACACTCATTGTGTTGCCCCCCGCCCCCCCAAGCGAGGCGCGTAAAGTTGAATGCATTTAAGTTAAATGCACGTAATATACGATACAACTGTACAGTAGTTGACCTCATCTAATTTTGCCCTCAATTTCCTGAAATTTTAATTGTTTTGCATATAATCAAACTGGAAGACTTGTTTAATCTACCTTCTGACAATATGTCCAAGAGCATCTGCTAGCGTGGAGGTGAGGGTACGGACAGGTGGTGTGAGTGTCAGGTTGGATGTGGGCGTTAGGTTAGACTCGACTCCAAACACAACTTCTTTTCCTTCTAACCAGCCCTTTAGTTCATCAATGCTATTCACTAACATCCTGTAAGAATGTTTCCTCACTGGATTATTTTATCTAAATTACATTTTTCCTAAACTAATGCAGGAATCAGACAAAAAATAAACACAGTATCAAGAGTTAAAAAATTAGTTAAGAGTAGAAAAGACTAATTAAAGAACAAATATATATTGACAGTATAAACATCAACAACAACAAAATTATTAAGAGAATTTGTTAAAGCTAATGGTGGAATAAAGAGATCATTTTAACTGGGAGAAATACCAAAAATATGACAAGACACCACATGGTAAAAACAATGGTAATTGAAGAAGAAGAAGAACCGCACGCACGCACGCACGCACGCACGCACGCACGCACACACGCACGCACACACACACACACACACACACCCCAACATGACACCCTCTTGACACACACACACGCACACGCACACACACACACACACACACACACACACACGAAGTTCCCAAGCGCTTTCGTGTAATTCACATCTTCAGGGGTGAGTACAGACTAAAGAGGAGTACAAAACAAGGTGTATATATACAGAGGAGGGTGAGACCAGGCCCACAATGGTCAGGTATTAGGTAATGACCCTACTAATCTTTAAATAGCAAGGCAACGGTCGGTAGTCAGGTCAGAGGGTAAGGTGACCCAACCTTCTCACCTGGTTACAAATCTTCTTAATTACAAAATTGTCCAGTTTGTACATGCCATTACTCAAATTCATGTTGAATGCTTCGGTATGTTTAATGAGACTAGATTCTATGATGTTCCTACTATCAATTGAATTACAAGGTAATATTGAGGAGGCATTATCCCAGTCAATGCAATGCTTGTTATCCCTCAAATGAACAAACAGAGCATTGGATTCCTGGCCTGTCCTAACACTATATTTATGTTGTTTAAGTCTAGTTACAAGATCTTTACCTGTCTGGCCTAAGTAAAACATATTACATTCCTTGCAAGGAACTTTATAAATGCAACCAATTGTGTTGTTGGGGGAGTTCTTGATTAACATTTGTTTAACAGTGCATGAGTTTTTAAATGCCACATTGACGTTCCAGGTTTTTAGTTGTAAAGGAATGTGTGAGAAATTTTTGTGAAATGGTAATATTAAGATATTCTTATGGTCATGGGTGGGCTTGGGATCAGTTCTATAAAAAGTTTTCTTAGTAATGTTTAGGCATTTGTCTATAAAGATCTAGGGTATTTAGGTTTGAGCCAATATTATAGATATATTTATATTCCTCATCAATGAATTCCGGACTGCAAATTCTCAAAGCACGTAAAAACATTGTTGAAAATACTGACTGTTTGACTCTATTGTGGTGGGCAGAATAATAATGAATGTATGAACACACATTAGTTGGTTTTCTATAAATACTGAACCTAAAAGTGTTACCTATTCTGTGGATCAGACAGTCTAGGAATGGCAATTTACAGTCTTGCTCTAATTCCACAGTGAATTTGCAGTCCGAATTCATTGATGAGGAATATAAATATTCATAATATTGGCTCAAACTTAATACCCTAGATCTTTCAGACAACAATACTAAGAAAACTTTATAGAACTGATCCCAAGCCCACCCATGACCATAAGAATATCTTAATATTACCATTTCACAAACATATATATATATATATATATATATATATATATATATATATATATATATATATATATATATATATATATATATATATATATATATATATATATATATATATATATATATATATATATATATATATATATATATATATATATATATATATATATATATGTTATTATATATTATTATATTACCGCAACGCTTAACGCGTTTTGACATACGCGGTGCCCTGCCAAGCTGAACTTTCACTTACGCGATTTTCTCAACAGCAACGTGAGTGTCCGGTCTCGAGCTATTTTGAGATTCGCACCACCCCCACCCGCCACCTGCCTGACTGCCTGTTTTAGCTCATAAAATTCATACAAATTACCGGTCAGAATATAATTTACATTGCTGGAATTCTTATAATTTGGTGATCATTTTGAATATAAACAACATATTTTTTGCATTAAACATACAATTTTAGATAAAATGTTTAATCTGAGTAAGTATGTTATCTTTTGTCCAAAATATATGACATTTATATTCAAAATATTCCTGGTCTTACAAGGAATCCAGCAATGTCAATTATATTATCCTAACTTTTAATCTGAGGTATTATTTATTACTAAATGTTAAAAACTCTTGAATGGAGGATTGGTGGGGGGAGGTTGGGACTGACCTCGCGGATTGGAAGAGGCAAAAGTGGGAGTACTTTGATTGACAGATAGTGTTGAAGAATATATTTTTTTTTTTTTTACTGTAGATATTGGTTTTAGCTCATAAAAATTCATACAAATTATCAGCCAGAATATAATTTACATTGCTGAATTCTTATAATTTGGTGATCATTTTGAATATAAACAACATATTTTTTGCATTAAACATACAATTTTTAGATAAAATGTTTAATCTGAGTAAAATATGTTATCTTTTGTGAAAAAATATATGACATTTATATTCAAAATATTCCTGGTCTTACAAGAGAATCAGCAATATCAATTATATTTTCCTAACTTTAGTTTGAGGTTATCCACACATCTCCTTGGGACGGTTGGTGGGGGGTGGGGGGGAGGGAGGGACCGACCGACCATCCTTGGCTGTGTACTGTAGTGTAAAGTATTAATTGTGTGCATTACCATCATAAATTAAGATGTTATTTTTACTACTAACATAGTTATTGTCGTCAAAAAGTGGAGTTTGAAAGTAGGGCTGGGTTCTATTGAATTAATCCCATATGTTCTTTATTCATAGCGGTTTCACTTAACCTGGGACCCTCTGGGTTCAATTGACCCAGCGTTAAATTAGAGGTACCTATTATATATATGAAGAAAATCAGATGAATTGAGAGTTACCTGCTGGCTGAGCTGTGAAGCAAAGTCCCACAGTGCAACACACACACATACAGTATTTATATATATATATATATATATATATATATATATATATATATATATATATAAGGTAGCTGTGCACAGACTTGCAACATCTTTTTAAAACCAAGCCAATACAGGATGATTATGTCAATACAGTCAGAAGCTGATGTACCGGTATGTATAGTCAATTATGTGAAAGGGTTCATATAACCCTAAGATGATACCTGTTACTGTACATATACCATAACAGCAAAATGACCTATTACACCACAATTAATATACAGTACAAAACTTTTACAGTACTTAATACTTTGGGACATCTTCCAATTCTGTTTCTAAGTACTGTACAGTCAGGGTCAAAAGTTCACTCCCACCTAAAATGAAGCGGCATCAACCCCCAAATGAGATGAAAAAGTCAGAGTAAGTCAGTTCAGAGACTCATTCCTGTGACTCAGTTTCACCACGGGGAGCAAACTTTTCTCCCAGACTGTACATCATTTCATGTAAGTGGTATTAAAATGAGATATGTAAAAACAAAAGGTATTAAAATAAACCACAGTAATGAACTACCATCTGGAAACTGGCTAACCCCGACAAGATTGGAAAATGGCCATAAAACGATGAAGATGATGAAATGTAACAATAATAATGATAAATCTCACATGGTTATAGCCTCCTGAACATTGCATTGCCAATGCAGAAGAAATGGTGCTAATCTTTTTTGCTTCTGAGACAGCACGAATGTGTGCAGCTAAAGGCTCAGACACCTTCCTCAGCCCCAGCCAACAACAGTCCAGCTGACCCTAGTGTTGTCACTAGCTTATCATAGGTGTCCACCAGCTCATCAATGGCCTCATCACAATGTTCAGTACATTCACCTAATAACTCCTGCAGTTGGATAAAATGAAGATATTAATCAATTAAATATTCTTTGACTGCCTAATATTACTCTGCACACAAACAACACTGACAAATAAAGTTTTATATGTACAGTATAGATTTTTGAATTAAAATACAAAAAGGAAGTATTGTATGTACTATTATTTATATAAAAGTCTGTCTAAAATTAACTAACAGAATTTTCTAAACTGTGCATCATAGTCTGAGACCCCATTTGTAGCCCATGATATATTATTACATTTTATTTATTATTTACCTGGGATAACATTTTGTAATCATTTTCTATTCACACAAATGAAACAGACAGAACAGTCAATTGCTTTGAACTACAGATGGTATACAGAAATGGTATGTTAAAGGCTTATCCAATTAAAGCGATATCCCGTTAGCCGGAACAATTGGTGCAGAGCACTTTCGGGGATGAGAGATTTCCAGCGAACCAGACGACTTTCGCAACCGGAAAAATTCCTTATCCCCAGAATCTTTTCCGGTTACTGTGAAAAGTTTCCGAGTGTCTAAACTAGATGTCTTGCACACAGAGACACTAACCCACTTCCCCAAAATCTTTGTTGGTGCTGGGGATGTTTCCTCAGTCTAAAGTACCGGAGTCAGTAAATGCAGTTCTAATAAGTTAGAAACTCAATTTCTTTCCAATAATAATCCAGAATAGTTTATCTAAAAGTTTGGGAAAAAATATATTTGAAAATTAAAAATCTATATGAAGCAGGCATGAATGAAGCTGTGTGTTACACCAAAGACTGGTATTTTCCATCCCATGGAGCTGTGGGGGATTAGTGGGTCTCCTGTACCTGACCTGCCCTGAGGCAATGTCAGGTGGAGGTAGGGTGGGGATTAGTGGACTCATATTACTGACCTTCTGATGGAATGTCAGGTCACCCTTTCTTGGCTGGGTGTAGTGGGTCTCATGACCTGAAGATGTCTTGAATAAACACGAAACCTAAATTATTTTTATAGATTGTGATAAGTATAAGTATAAATAAGCAAAGTTGTATCCCTTCAACATTATATTGCAAAACATTTTCAAATATGAAGTGAAAAAGCAGAAAGGTGTGGGTGATTAGAGAGAAGAGGTGGAAATGCGTGTTGCGCAGTGCTCCTCAACAGCTGATATTTAAACTCTGAAAGCAGTCACAAACACTCAAATTTGTCTCACAATAAGACCATCACTCCTTATGTTTGCTGTCTTAATTCCATTTTAGGGGTATGTGATGTTGGGGTGTGTGTGTGGGGAGTGTGTGATGTTGGGGAGTGTGTGTGGGTTGAGAGGGTGTGATGTTGGGGGAGTGTGTGTGTGTGTGGGGGAGGGTGTGATGTTGGGAGGTGTGTGTGTGTGTGTGGGGAGGTGTGATGTTGGGGTGTGTGTGTGTGGGGAGGTGTGATGTTGGGGTGTGTGTGTGTGTGAGGGGGTGTGTGTGTGGGGAGGTGTGATGTTTGGGGTGTGTGTGTGTAGGGAGGGTGTGATGATGTTGGGGTGTGTGTGTGGGGAGGGTGTGATGTTGGGGTGTGTGTGTGTGTGAGGAGGTGTGATGTTGGGGTGTGTGTGTTGGAGGGGTGTGATGTTGGTTGTATGTAGGAGGTGTATGTTGTGTGTGTCAGGAGGTGTGATGTTAGTGTGTGTGTGTCGGGAGGTGTGATGTTAGGGTGGTTTGTGTCAGGTGTGAACGAGGATGGTGTGTGTGGGTGTGATGGTGTGTGTGTGGTTAGGAGTGTGATGTTGGGGTGTGGTGTGTGTCAGAGTTGTGTTGGTGTTGTGTGTCAGGGAGGTGTGATGTTTGATTGTGTGTGTCAAGGAGTGTGTGATCATTTGGGGTGTGTGTGTGTGTAGGAGGGTGTGATGTTGGTGTGTGTGTGTAGGTGTGATGTTGGGGTGTGTGTGTGTGTCAGGAGGGTGTGATGTTGGTGTGTGTGTGTGTCGAGAGGGTGTGATGTTGGGGTGTGTGTGGGAGGAGTGTGATGTGTGGGTGTGTGTGTGTGTCAGGAGGTGTGTGTGGGGTGTGTGTGTGTGTGTGGTGTGATTGGGTGTGTGTGTCAGGAGGGTGTGATGTTGGGTGTGTGTGTCAGGATTGTGATGTTGGGGTGTGTGTGTCAGGAGTGTGCTGTTGGGGTGTGTGTGTGTCTGGAGGTGTGATGTTGGGGTGTGTGTCAGGAGGTGTGATGTTGGGGTGTGTGTGTGTGTCAGGAGGGTGTGATGTTGGGGTGTGTGTGTGTGTCAGGGAGGGTGTGATGTTGGGGTGTGTGTCAGGAGGTGTGATGTTGAGGTGTGTGTCAGGGAGGTGTGATTTGGGGTGTGTGTGTCAGGAGGTGTGATGTTTAGAGTGTGTGTGTCAGAGGTGTGAGTTCTGGGGTGTGTGTGTCAGGGTGTGATGTTGGGGTGTGTGTGTCTGGAGGTGTGATGTTGGGGTGTGTGTCAGGATGTTGGGGTGTGTGTGTGGAGGTGTGTGTTGGGGTGTGTGTCAGGAGGTGTTGTGTGTTGGAGTGTGTGTGTGGGGTGTGGAGTGCTGGAGTGTGTGTGTGTGGAGTGTGAGTGTTGGGGTGTGTGTGTGGGAGGTGTGATGTTGGGGTGTGATGTTGGGAGGGTGTGATGTTGGTGTGTGTGTGTCAGGAGGTGTGATGTTGGGGTGTGTGTGTGTCAGGAGGTGTGATGTTGGGGGTGTGTGTGTCAGGAGGTGTGATGTTGAGGGTGTGTGTCAGGAGAGTGTGATGTTGGGGGTGTGTCAGCAGGAGGTGTGATGTTGGGGTGTGTGTGTGTTGGTGTAGGTGTGATGTTGAGGTGTGTGTCAGGGAGGGTGATGTTGGGGTGTGTGTCAGGGAGGTGTGATGTTGGGGTGTGTGTGTCAGGGAGGTGTGATGTTGGGGTGTGTGTGTGTCAGGTGTGATGTTGGGGTGTGTGTGTCAGGGAGGGTGTGATGTTGGGGTGTGTGTCAGGGGGGTGTGTGTGTCAGGAGGGTGTGATGTTTAGATGTGTGTGTCAGGAGGTGTGATGTTGGGGATTGTGTGTCAGGAGGTGTATGCGGTGTGTGTGTGTCAGGTGTGATGTTGGGGTGTGTTGTGTCAGGAGGTGTGATGTTGGGGTGTGTGTGTGGGGAGGTGACAGGGGTGTGTGTCAGGAGGTGTGTTGGGGTGTGTGTCAGGGTGTGTGGGGTGTGTGTCAGGAGTGTGATGTTGGGTGTGTGTGTCTGGAGGGTGTGATTTTGGGGTGTGTGTGTGGGAGGGTGTGATGTTGGGGTGTGTGTGTCAGGAGGGTGTGATGTTGGGGTGTGTGTGTGTGGGTGTGATGTTGGGGTGTGTGTGTGTGGAGGTGTGATGTTAGGGTGTGTGTGTCAGGGAGGTGTGATGGGGGTGTGTGTGTCAGGGTGTGATGTTGGGGTGTGTGTGTCAGTTAGTGTCTTTAGGTGTGTGTGTGTCAGGGTGTGATGTTAGAGTTGTGTGTGTGGGAGGTGTGATGTTAGAGTGTGTGTGTGTGTGTTGGGGTTTGTGTCAGGAGGTGTGATTTAGAGTGTGTGTGTGTCAGGGAGGTGTGATGTTGGGGTGTGTGTGTCAGGAGGTGGTGCAGGGTGTGTGTGTCAGGAGGTGTGAGTGCTGGGGTGTGTGTGTGTGTCAGGGAGGTGTGTGTGTGGGTGTGTGTGTGTCAGGGAGGGTGTGATGCTGGGGGTGTGTGTGTGTCGGGAGGTGTGATGTTGGTGTGTGTGTGTCTGGAGGTGTGATGTTGGGGTGTGTGTCAGGTGTGATGTTGGGGTGTGTGTGTGATGTTGGGGTGTGGTGGTGTCTTGGAGGTGTGATGGTGGGGTATTGTCAGGAGGTGTGATGTTGGGGGTGTGTGTGTGGGGTGTGATGTTGGGGTGTGTGTGTCAGGGGTGTGGGTGTTGGGGTTGGTGTGGGGTGTGATGTTGGGGTGTGTGTGTCAGGAGGTGTGATGTTGGGGTGTGTGTCGGGGTGTGATGTTGGGGTGTGTGTGTGTCAGGAGGGTGTGATGTTGGGGTGTGTGTGTCAGGAGGGTGTGATGTTGGGGTGTGTGTGTGTCAGAGGTGTGATGTTGGGGTGTGTGTGTGTCAGGGAGGTGTGATGGGTGTGTGTGTGTGTCAGGGTGTGATGCTGGGGTGTGTGTGTCAGGGTGTGATATTGGGGTGTGTGTGTCAGGAGTTAGTGTTGGGGTGTGGTGTGTCAGGTGTGATTACGGGGTGTGTGTGTGTGTGTCAGGTTGGCAGGTTGTGTGTGTGTGTGTGGGTGTGGCTGGTGTGTGTGTGTTGGCAGGGAGGTTGTGATGTTGGGGTGTGTGTCAGGAGGTGTGATGTGTTGGGGTGTGTGTGTCAGGAGAGGTGTGATGTTGGGGTGTGTGTGTGTCTGGAGGGTGTGATGTTGGGGGTGTCAGGGGTGCAATTGGGGTGTGTGTGTCAGGGAGGTGTGATGTTTGGGGTGTGTGCAGTGAGGGTGTGATGTTGGGGTGTGTCAGGTGTGATGTTGGGTTGTGTGTGTCAGGAGGGTGATTTAAGTGTGTGTGTCAGGAGGTGTGATGTTGGGGTGTGTGTGTCAGGGAGGTGTGATTCTGGGGTGTGTGTGTGTCGGAGGTGTGATGTTGGGGTGTGTGTGTCTGGAAGGTGTGATGTTGGGGTGTGTGTGTAGGAGGGTGTGATGTTGGGGGTGTGTGTGTCAGGGAGGGTGTGATGTTGGGGTGTGTGTGTCAGGAGGGTGTTATGTTGGGGTGTGTGTGTCAGGGAGGTGTGATGCTGGAGTGTGTGTGTCGGGAAGAATATGATGTTTAGAGTGTGTGTGTGTCAGGAGGTGTGATGTAGGGGTGTGATGTGAGATTGTGATGTTGGTGTGTGTGTGTGTGAGTGTTGGGGTGGTGTGTGTCAGGAGGTGTGATGTTGGGTTAGTGTGTGTCAGGAAGGGTGTGATGTTGGGGGTGTGTGTGTCAGGAGGTGTGATGTTGGGGTGTGTGTCAGGGGAGGGTGTGATGCTGGGGTGTG